ACTTGGGTTTGCGGTGAGAGACGCTGGGGACAGGTTCTGCTCGTTCCCTGGGCGTGTCTGCTGAGTACTGCTATTTGCCAGACGCTGTTCTGGGTGCTGGGACGCACCAGTGAGCAACACAGAGAGCAAAGCAGAAAACCCCCATCTCCCGGGCAGCCTCTGTTCTAGAACAGGGGAGACAATAACAGCACGCTCTCTGTAGTATCCTTATTGCATGTTAGAAGGTGACAAGTGCAGGGGAAAAGAAAAATAAGAGAGTAGGGTGATGAAGATCGGAAGGCTGGTTTGGGGGACAGGATGCAACTGTGATAGAGTGACCTACCGAGGTCACATCTGAGCCCAGGTTTGGAGGAGGTGAGAGAACGAACCATGTGAGCATCTCAGGAAGAGCATCCGGTCTGAGGGGACAGCCCACACCAAGGCCTTATGGTGGGCACAGGCTGGCCCATCTGAGGAATAGCTTGGAGGCCACTGAGACTGGAGCAGTGTGAGTGTGGGGTCAGCAGCAGCAGGTGACAGGTCCTGGAGGGCTTTAGGAAGAACTTTGGATCTTATTTGGAGAGAAATGAGGAGCCATTGACAGGTTTGGGAGAGAGGAGTGACTTGAAAAAGTAATTCAACATTTTTTAAAAGCACCTCCCTGGCTGCTGTGCTGACAATAGACCGTTGGTGTGGGGAGGGGGACGGGTGGCTGCTGAGAGTGGAAGCGCAGAGAACAGAGAGGGGCTTCGGCAGTAGTCGGGGTGAGAGGATATGGCCGAACCTTGGTGGTAGCGATGGAGAGGATTCTGGACATACAAGGTAGACCCAATAAAATGTGGGAAGTGAAAGAAAATAGGATGACTCCAAGGGTCGGGCCCAAGCAACAGATGGTTGGAATCTGCGATAAGTGTGAAATTAGACGATTTCCATAGAACAAAGACCCTGGCGGAGTTCCAGAGCCACAAGGCATCACGTCGGCTCCTTTGCCTGAAAGTGAAATGGTGAGCGAATGTCGCCCCATGAGCCCGTGAGCAAAGCAGAGCCAACGGAAGCCTGTTTGCTGTTCCCTTGGTCTAGCATCCCGTTTTTTGCTAAACCAGAGCTCAGACACAGAGTATTTTCAGAGAGCCTCACTTTGGGACACTTAGAGGAGAGAAGCAAAGGTCAAGGTCGTTGGCTAGAGCGTCCCCTCTCGGGGCGGGTCCGGGAGAATGACGATCTTTCAGCCCCAGATGTTGGTCGGTACAGCCTTTGAGAACTGATTCTCTAAATGCGAACACAGGCTCAGCAGTTCCCCGAGGTTGGCTGCCATATGCAGCTGGCAAGCATCCCCTGGAACCGGCAGATGAATGGAGCACTTACTGATATAAATATCATCACCGCAGCAGCTGGGCACCTTTCGAAAATAAACAATGACACAGCGCGAGCATCAGAAAAGCCGCCCTCAGCACCTGGAGGGGCGGCTCTTTGAAGTGGCATCAGCATTTGTGTGCCAGGGTGCCCGTGCCAAAGCAGCCTGTAGCTGCAGCCTGCGCAGCAACTCTGGCAGGGCAGCCCCAGGTCCCAGGCTCATGAGATTGCTCCCAAGAGGACCAGTGCCACATCCTGTGGTTTGACTGGGGACCGTAGGGCTCATGTTGGCGGTGTGGCTGAGCTACCTGTAGGGTGCAGCACAGAAGGTTGATGGGGTTTGGGGAGGATTCTGCGCTCACTGTCATCCTGACCGGAAGTCAAAAATTGTTTCTTAAGTTGCACAGTTCAGTTGTCTCTTTCCTACCTGTTTCTAAAACCTGCCCTGAGCTTTGCCTTCCACCCACCCCACCTTCCTCTGTAGATATTCTCCTGAAGCCCCACCCTTCCTTCCGGGAAACACACTCTGATGCGACTGTCGGTGTCCTGTCCTAAGCCAGTTTCCACCCCTTGCTGGAGATGCATTGTTCACCCCAGGGGACCGTGGAGAGGCTGGATGGAGGAGGGATGTGGGCATGGCACTGATTACTGTCCCTGTGCCCACTGCCTCACCCACCATCTGTCTTCTTTAACTGGCTACAGTGTTAAAACCAATTACATGTTTTCGGCTCTTTATCGAATCTAGTTAAAGGAATTTTATAATCACTGACCTGAATTTTAAAACCAATTCAGGTGGCTCTTTTATATTTTTTTCTCTTAGCAATACTAATTCACTTCACCTTTGGGTGGCTTGGGATTGGTTCCCCTGCCCTGCTCCTTGGATCACAAGGACCTTGACAAGTCGGGTCCTTAATTTCTAAGGCTGTGACATTCCTTGGCTTTTCCATTTTGCCAAAGTATTATTTAATTAACGAAAGGTATAGCTAAGATGCATGGAAATATGCTTTAAAATTGTTTATTCCAAAGAAACAAGCCATATGCTAGTTTTCATTCAGCACATTCGGGCATGTTTATTCCAGAGACTAACAAGCTTTCTAATTCCATCAGCAAGAAATGATGTTTAGCAGTGGAGCTGCCTTAATGTTTGTTACAGTTCACGTGGGAATTTGCTCTTTGCGCGGCCCACACAGCCATGGAGGCCACTTGGTGGAACCATGTGTGGCAGCTATTCCCGGGCTATCCACAAGTGCTTCATGATTTCCCCTCAGTTTCACTTGTTCTGACAATAAGTAGCAAAAGTCGCTCTGCTTTTCTGGGGGCAGCATGGTCGTTTCTAAATCAGCAGCCATAGCAGGACCGCTTCCCTCCAGGTGTGGTCTTCTGCACTGGCTGTGTGTCTGCAGAGGGGAGGCCACTGTGGACAGACAGCACCTCCCTCCCCACACCGCCGGTAAGAGGGGAGAGTCCTGGGGTATGAGGTCGCAAAAGGCTGCTGGTCCAGGCTCTAGGCTGAAGGATTTGAATCAATTCTTGGAGAGAGCATTTCGACAGTTTTCCATCTAAGGAAGAAAATACCAAAGTGTTATTGCGTGTATGTGTGGCCCCGGGTCAGCTGAGACCTCATGGCTTTAGAGAATCAAGTGGACTTTTGAACCCCCCATTTCCAGGGTCTTAAGAAACCATAGGTCTCTACCCCCAAGATTTCTATAAAATGCTGATGCTCATGTGTTCGTGGTCTGGCCCCTCAGACCACATATGCGGTCTCTGCTCTGTTTCTGTGTCACCCAGGAAGCAAAGTTCAGGTCCTCGCTAGTTTCCACAGGAAATCAATAACATTGAGCACTGTGCATGTTATTATAAATTTGCTGAATATTTAGGAGGTTGGGGGGGGCACATGACACATCGATTCCCCTTCGACCGTTTCACTGGCTCCGCTGCACCCAGCCTTCCTCCCCTACCTCCTAGGTCCCCCTCCAGAACAGTGCCCCCATGTCCAGGATGCCCCCATCCCCACTGCTCCCCCAAGCTGGTTGATCAGGAATTTTCACAAGGGCAGTCCTTTGGGTATAACCCTAAAGAGAAATTTTCATAAGAGCTACTAAGTGGAGGGAGAAAAAAAAGACTTCACTTTATCCATCTCGTTGGAGTGGCCTCCCCCACATTGCCTAACAATTATAGCTCACATTTACTGAGTGCTCACTAGTTACAGATCCCTGTGCTAAGCAGACACATTAAGATTCACAGCCGCTCATAACTCAGACAAGCTAAAAGATTTGGCCAACTCATTCAGCTAGAAAGTGACAGGGCTGGGATTTGAACCCAGGGCACTTCTAGTGGGAGCCCTTTTGCTACACTGCATACATAGCCAGAACGGCGGCGCCCACCGAGGCTCGACCCCAGTGCCTGGGCACCAGGACAGCCTCGAGCTAAACCACAGAGGACATTTCTTGTTGATGAGAATCATTTCTGAGCCCCAAAGGGTCACTAGGAACACTTGGCTTCCCCCCTTCCTTCTGTCCCCATGGCTAGATTATGTGTGATGTCCTGGGCTGTGGGGAGACCCTGATGACCCTTGGCAGCTAAAACGCGACATCTGCCCACAACACCCGGCTGAATGTCACCACAGTGTTGCTGATGCGATCTAGAGAATTAGGGAACTTGAGTGAAAGGGTGGCCCTGGTTTAGAATTAGAAGGATTCTGCAAACTTCACCAGCCCTCTGCGCATTACAGGAGAGTGACCTGGAAAATCAAATGCAGAGAGGTGTCCCAAATATAGAAGTCTTATTTGAGGCATAGTAGAACCTATTAGCTTGAGAAATTGGTCTGGAAATCTTATTAAAAGAGAAAAATCATTCCGCATTCTCTCCAGACTGAAAATATTGAGGGTAACAGACTTTCCCTGATGCCTCGGACCCCTATACCTGATATCAGGATCACAGTCAACCTCTGGCAAGGCTAAATTCAATGCAAGTGATAAAGGCAGTTATTTTTTTTTTAATGGGCAATTCTGATGAGTTCTGATTTCTCTGGCTAGCCACAGATTTATCGGTACTAGTCTCTCATTATCGGGAAGGGTGCAAGGCAGAAGAGCCAGTGGCAAAGAGAAATGAAGTTCAAATTGTGGATTTGTCATTACTGCCCAGCTCAGCAGATGACTCTCCAGCCACGGGGCCCCTGTGCCCAGCCCCCCAACACACACACACACATATACACACACATTAGTATGCTCCATTAACCCCCAGTGGAGACGCCAGGACAGCAAGCACCACTGCGTTAGGAAACCTAACCTTGCACATCTTTGCTGTTTGAGTATTTGAGACGAGGTAAGAAGAATTCTTCAGCTTTAGATGTTAGGCATTATCGTAATTGTTATTTTCGTTGAGCACTGATAGGTTCAATGATACTGTGAATGGCTGGGATTTAGTGGGTGCTTAGTCCATGCCTGTTTGTTCACATGCATCATCTCCTCTATTCCCAGAACAAGCCAATAGTACAGGTGTTGGCCAGCTTTCTCTGTGAAGGACAAGATAGGCAATATTTTAGGTTTTGTAGGCAATGTGGTCTCTGTGGCAACTACTCAGCTCTGCTACTGTGGCTCGAAAGCAACCACCGGCAGTAATATGTAGACGAATAAGTACAGTGGTATTTCAATAAAACTTGACTTACAGAATCAGGTGCTGGCCAGGTGTGGCCTGTGGGCCACACTGTGAGCAGTGTCATCCCTGAGCCGGAATGTGAGTTCCACAGCTAGGAAGGAGGGAAATGGAGACGTGTGCGTTTCTGTCTCCTGCATCTTTCCTCCTCCTGGCTTTTCCATTCTGGCTCCGGTTCTGGAGGAAGGATAGAAAAAAAGACACTTCTGCATGTGACTGGCCAGGGTGAGTTGGCTATTCTCTCTCAACAAAAGGGACAGTGGTCGCTTTCATGAAAACCCTGCATCCGTGGTGGCTGAGAGGAGGCCACCGGGTTTCTGTGGCTCACCTCTCACAATCTGACTCCTTGTCTGCAAGCTCAGCGGAGGCTGTGGCAGACCCCGCTAATGAAGGAACTGATCCCGAGCTGCCCTCAGACGCCTCGCATGGTCTTGTGAGTCTCAGCTCTGTCCTCTGGGCAACCCCCAGGTCGAGGGTCTTTCTAACACATGGCCTTTTTGTCTGCACTGGGGTGGCCCCTAACAAGCATGCAGCCCAATCTTAGCTCCCTTCTGTGCCCAGTGCCGAGGCCTGTAGACCTGGACAGGGTCCACTGTCTGCCACCATGCCCCTTGGGAACCAGGAATTTGAGGAGGCACGTTTGCCCCTCTTTGAGCCACAACCCCTGCCAACTACCTCACTGTTCTTTCTCCAACTAAAGTCAGCTGGTGGCTCAACAAATACAGGGGAATGAAGAATCTATCTCTCTTTCTTGATGAGACTATAAACCTGAAGAACGATTTGTGATCTTAGGCCACAGTTAATGTCAATCTCTGTCTGCACTGTTGATATTTGGGGCCAGAGTACTCAGTGGGGGGAAGTATACTTGCCTTGGAAGATGTTTAGCAGCATCCTGGCCTCTCCTCACTAGATACCTATAGCAACCCCCAGGTGTGACAATCAAAGATGTCTCCAGGCATTTCCAAATGTCCCCTGGTGACAAAACAACCTCTGCTGAGACACTGTGTTAGGTTGAGGGGCAGTCGTTGCCTTTGCTCTCAGCCATAGGATCTAATTCCCAATTCCAGACAAACAGGAAAGATCACTTCAAGAGCTCTCAACACCATTTGGTGCAAGGTAAGCATAATTATCCCCATTTCACATATGAGAAAACTGAGGCTGGGTCACACAGCTGGTCAGGAGCAGAGCCTGTATTTGCACCCAAGCCTACCTGATGCCAAAGCTTAAGTATTTTCTAAAACTGCTCGTGATCTGATCATGAACATTGTGAAGGTTTTCCTGGATGGGGAAGCATTTGCCGTGATTCGCGTTACTGAAAAGAAAACTGGGGACTGTACCTGCCCTTCCCTCGGTGTGTTCTATCTAATCCTGACAGCAGCACGTCAAGGTAAATATCACTCTCTCCATTTTACAGGTGAGGGGAGTGAGGCCCAGCAAGGCTGACAAATGGTGTGAAATCAGCATAGCAAAGTGTTTCTGTGCTCAGAGCTTTGACTTGCCCACAACTCCCCCGAATGAGTGGCCGCTCCCCCGCGGGGAAGCAGAGTCTAATTTTCTACGCGATACCTACGCTCTAGCCAGCGTGTTCTGCTGACAAGAAAGGCTCAGTGATGACATGAAACTAACCCCTTCCCACCCTGTCCTTGCCTCCTCCTGTCACCTCCTTCCCAGCTCTGTATGCAGTACTGGCCTGAGAAGACCTCCGGGTGCTACGGGCCCATCCAAGTGGAGTTCGTCTCCGCCGACATCGACGAGGACATCATCCACAGAATATTCCGCATCTGTAACATGGCTCGGGTAAGCGTGCGCCGCCATTGCTTCCCGTGCCCCCCAAAATAGAGGGAGGCTGCGGGGAGAGGAGCCTGCCCGCCAGCCGAGAGTCTGTGCTGTTCTCTCCCGATCATCTCGTCCTTGGGGAAGTGATGCCTCTGCCGATTCCAGCTCCAGACCCAGCCATGGCGCCAACACAGAGACGCGCAGAGCGGGGCGACATCCCGCCTGCCATCTGCCTGTTTCCTGACACACTTGCTGCCGTGTAGACAAAACTTCTTAGAAATTAGCGCTTTCCCACTGTGTCGCGCTGTTTTGGCATGAGTCGATGCAGCCTTTGATTGGCTCCAGTAAGCTTTGGGCTAGACCCTGGGAACAACACCAAAATGAAAGAGAGTTGCTTCCAAGAAGAAATTCACTGCTGGGTGGAGGAGTATAGGGTGGGAGGAAGCAGATTAGTAATCTATGAAATGGTGGCTATTTGACTAAGTGACTTTAGTCTTTATTGGGGGCCCAGGATGAACTGAACTCAGCCCCTCCCTCAGGGTTCACAATCTACTGGGAAAGTGAGATATATTCTGGCACATGAACCTCAGGGAGAGAGATCAGTTCTAACTGGCAGTCAGGGAAGGCTTTTCCTGAAGAAGGGGACATTTGAATTGGGTTTTGAAGACTGAGTAGGAGTTTTCCAGGTTGAGAGGGGGTGCATGCAGGGCAGCCATGGCAGGAGAATCAGTGTGCACAAAGGTATAGAGATGAGTAAGGAGAGAGTCTGTGACTCTCCCCACGATGACATGGCTTAGACCTCATTTAGTCTGTCTTCCACACAATGCTGCAACCCCCAGGGTATCTGGAGGGCTTGCATCCCCACATTCCCAGCAAAACAGCCCTAACAACTTCTCTGTTCTCAGCCACAGGATGGGTATCGTATAGTCCAGCACCTCCAGTACATTGGCTGGCCTGCCTACCGGGACACCCCCCCCTCCAAGCGCTCTCTGCTCAAAGTGGTCCGGCGGCTGGAGAAGTGGCAGGAGCAGTACGACGGGAGGGAGGGACGCACCGTGGTCCACTGCCTGTGAGTATTGTACTATGGAGGGGTCTCTAGGGACACAGAGTGATGGGTGATAGGATGGCCTTGAGGATGTGGCTGGGCACAAATACCAGCCCTAGGCACACCTGGTTGTACCACATCTCAACATCCCTTAAAGGCCAATGGGAGTGTATTCAAGGAACTGCAACCCTTTAATGGAATGGAGTTTCCAGTCTGTTGCCCTGAACTAATGTTATATGACATTTACTGATGCAAAACCTGGTGGCCTTTCCCCAAACACAGAGGGTGGACAGAACAAACCCCAATGCTCCCAAGAGGGAGATAAGCGCCGCCCTCCAGCAGGAGGCACAATGTGTCCCGCCAGTCACGAGAAAGCTCAGGATGAAGAGGGTTCCACCAACTAGATGCTGCTCTATTCTTTCCTGAAGAAGGATGGGAATGGGTTGATTAAGTGAGCTTAATGCCAGGCACTCAAAATGAGTCACCTCATTCCATCCGTGAGGTAGATTTCATCATGTTACAGTGAGAAGACTGGGGCACAGACAGGGCAAGGTATCGGGCAGCTAAGAGAGGAGTTTTGAGTTGAATCCACTGGCGTCCAAGCTAACGTGCCATCCATCACCCCACACTGCCTCTGAGTAAACCCAGGGATTCACCCACCGTGTCTGCAACACATTTTCCCAGGACACCGTGGGCTCCGGTCAGCTGTCTTTATACCTCCATTACTGGGGTGAAATGGAACCTTCACCTCATGTCTTAGGATGGGCAGAGCTAGGGCATGGGGATTTCCAAACAGCCCCTGATGTCATCTTGCAGGATGGAGGTCAGGACCCTTAAAGCACTGTGGCTGGAAGCTATCATCAAAGAAATCACTTAATTTTGTGAGTCTCAGTTTCTTCATCTGTCCAATGGGTATGTTGTGGGGCTTTGAAATATTTAGAAAATAAACACAATTTATCTGCCAACATACAGAACTGCACTATCATGGTAGCAAATATGCAAATGCCTGGGTCAGAGTCTACCACAGGAGTATAAAGTAATCTCAGAGAGGGATCCTAGAGACCTGGGACCCAAACAAATCAGGAGCCATAACAGCTGGGTATAGAACACTTGATTCACAACCATTCACTTTGCTTCTTAGAACCTGAAAATCACTGGGGAGACATGACCGAGAGGGCCTCCCTCTTTAAAAAGGCGTGTTAAAGGAAGATTGAGCCAAAGTCGGGCCTTCTTCAGAATAAGTGTCTGTGGAGCTAGTGGAGGCACTAATAGCACCTTGACCTCAGAATTGAGTTGTCTTTTCAAAACCAGCTTATCATTCTCCTCTTTCTAAAAGGTGGTGCATGCACGTCAGAAGAATCACAGAGCTTAGAGAGAAGTTATACACACACACACAGCTGAAGGCCACCACCTGTAGCATCCCCTTTTCCCAAAGGATGCAAGCCTCAGACTACAGTCCAGGAAGATGCCATGAGGTGTTGCATGTCACATTGGTGGGTGACATCAGCCAAGCTGAGCTGCCTCTGCTCACATCCCAGAAACTGGCAGCTGGTCCCCTGCCAGCTAACCCCTGCTCCCTTCAGTTCTCTCCCACACATTCAGGTGGCCTCACCTATAGCACAGAGTGACACCCATCCTATCAGGGTCTCACTCCACTGGGCCCAAGATGCCTGCGTCCACCCACCTCTTCTTCTTGGACCCTGCTGTTCTTGCTCCAGAAAATACTGAACCCTCCCTCCTGGGGGTCCCCTCCTACTCTTTCCCATGGGATTGGTTTTTAGTCTTTTGCAGGAGTACCTTTTTATCCATGTCTCCCTTCGCTGAGGCAACCAGCAGTTTGAACCAAAGGAAAGCAGAGGGTGTCCTTCTATCAACAGGGACCTTGGCATCCCTGATGATCAGGGACACCAAAACAGACACTGAAACGCAGGCACTTGCCAGTGAATGGAGGGCAACTGTCTGTACTTGAGACATCTGGTGGTTGGCTGTCCTATAGATAAAACATCTGGGAGATTGACTGAGTTCCTTAGTTTCTGTCCAGATGTTCTTTAGACACAGACCATTACATGAAATCATTAGTTACTCTTGGCAGTATGCCCAGGAGTTCCGAATCAGGCAGATTCTAAAAGGGACTTTCTGAGAAGAGTTGGAGGGTGTTCCCATGAAGATGACATATGGAGCATCAGAAAGATGGAGTGACAGGGAGATGACCGTGCCAAGCGCCCTCTATCTCTGCTCTCTAGATCTGTAGGGTCTTGTTTAAACTGGGGTATACAAATAGAGACTTGTCACTTCAGGATACAGCATCTCAGACTCCCCAGCCCCCACCCAAACACCTAGGCTGGCTGCCCCTAGGCTGAGAAAGATGTCTCTGGTATTGTTGTCCTCAGTGGATGGGAAAATCACATGCAACCTTCCACTGCCTTCACTGGATGTGTGGGCGGACCCAGAGCATCCTTTTAGATAAAGATGCAGGCACCACATGTATAAAGACACACTACCTGGCCTGAAGGTTGGGGTCCGTGTGCCATGAGTGACTAGAACATGCTCCTAGAACCAAACAAGCATCAAGCTCATTGAACTCTCACAGGTCACCTAGTCCAACCTCTGCATTATATGAATGGGAAACTTGGGGCTCAGACAATGAAAGTCACTTACTCAAGGTCAAAGCAGGTTCATGGCACAGATGGGACTCAAACCACGACACGTGGCTCAGATTTGGGCTTTGGCCATTGCCTCACCTTACCTTTGCCAGGGCAGCCACTCCCCCCACCGCAGGTGGGGCCCAGGACTGTGGCTCACCTTTCACTCTATGTTTAGGAGTGGGGGCGGCCGGAGCGGGACCTTCTGTGCCATCTGCAGCGTGTGTGAGATGATCCAGCAGCAGAACATCATTGACGTGTTCCACATCGTGAAGACGCTGCGCAACAACAAGTCCAACATGGTGGAGACCCTGGTGAGTGTCCCGAGAGCGGCTCTCCTCCAGCCGGGGTGGTTCCGGTTCCCTCAACCTGAAGAAAATAGTGTCCAATAGTAAAAACACTCCGTGACTAGATGCTTTCTGAGCACCACACCACATCCTTTGCTCCCAACCTCACCAGCTTCCCTTTCCTACAGGACAGTCTGAACAGTAACCCTGGTACGACCCACTTTGTTTTCCTTCCTGCCCATTCCTTAGGAAAGTGTCACTAATTCAGGCTTAGGGGAAGGGATTCTGGATTAGTAGAATGTGGATCCTGGTTTCCACCCAGTCCGGTCCTATTCTAATTAACTTACGCTAATTTTACAGTATAAGGTAGTGGTAGAGGACACTGGAGAAAGGGGTGGAAAGAGGCGGGGTAGGCAGAACCCCCGATGAGAAGACCCGGTGCAATGATGGGGACAGACCGTCCATAAGGAACTTTAGTATTAGCCTTTAAACCTGCTCTAAGCGTGGTCCTATTCAAAGTGTGGTTTGCAGTCCGCCACCAGCAGCAGCACGTGGGAGCTTGGTAGAAATGCAGAATCTTGAGCCCCACCCCAGATCTACTGAATCAGAATCTACACGAATAATTCTAAGCTGACTGTTAACAGATGTAGATAAAGTTTTCTCC